AACATTAAGCATCCGACACTTCTCTCATTATCTCATCCTGACCCAGTGCTCTCACCTACTTCCTGACAATGGGAGGGGACGCACAGTCCAATGACAGTGGTAATAAAACCGCTGCTCCCTGTTTCCCACAGCGGGGTTATAGGCACTTGGAACCCCCCCCCCCCACCTGTGAAATCAAAGCCAATATTTTCCACTAACTTGGAGGGAAACTGGAAACGGATGCAGCTCATAAAATTCATCTTGGTCTCAAAACACACTTCACATCACAATCACCAATCACTGCTGATAACAGGGGGGTGAAGGGTGAAGGGGGTGCAGCAGATTTCGGTTTCATGAAATTACAGTGGCATAAAAAAAAATCCATCACGACCATCTTGCCTGCCCGGGCGCTCGCGTTTCCACCAGAGCCACAGCAATCTGTCCGCTCATCTGCGAGTGCGCCCCGAGGAGGGGGAGGGACAGGCGGAAAATAATAACAGAACAGACAACAAAAGGCTTCGCCAGGATCGTGTGGGTATGAAGTTGAGCTTATTAAAAACCACAGTGGAAAACAAGTATGCAAACACCAAGCGCGCCCACCCTCCTGCAGAAGACACAATAAAGTATGGTGTGAAAGACGGAGAGAGTAGACGGAGGAAGAACAGACACCCGCTGATAATTTAATAGGCCAGACTATAGGAGGCCCTCCGGTTCCATTATGTTGTGTCATCTGTCCTGTGGAGGCTGCATCAGGTCCTCGGGGAAGGTCACAACAAATGACAGCTGTAATCATAATCAATGGGGATTCCACATTTAAACGCTTTGGGGAAAGATGACCGGGCGGTTTTATTTCTGACTGAGAGCGGAGGATCACGCGCTGAATCCTTGTTGAGGCGAATCCGTCAGGAGAAGTCCAACTGTAACGCCGCTGGTGGCGAACTGATGTGCATGTGTTGTTTTGTGTAGGTTACAATTCTACAAATCCACAGTTTGGTTCAGATCTTGAATTTTTATACACGATTTGATTCCTACCTCCCTGATATTAGCTGCGTCGAACCCGCCGCTACAACCACGACCTCAAACAGACCACAGACCATACAGATGATTCCTGTGTGCGTAGCAAGCGACGATACACAATTCGCTCATCATGAATTGAATGATGAGGGAATTGTGTGATCGTGTTCTCACGATACGAGATCGTAGACGATAACGAGAGAAACTGCAAATGCAAGTTATTCAGCACCTGCGATTAAAAATGCTTTTATTTTCTTTCTTATTTATATAAGATTTATTTAATCTTTCATTTTATTGTATAGTTTTCACTCATGCCTCTGAAATACTTGACCCTATCTTTCTCCTCATCCTCACAGCACTTGCTTTTTGATTTGCTTTATCTTTCTCCTCATTAATTCTAATTATGATCATTGTCATGCACCAGAACACCAAAGCGAACGCTTGAATGTGAAATTGCACTACGCGATAAACATGATTCTGTTTCTCATTCGTTTCTTTCAGTTCCTGTTTACACCAACGATTCATCTCCACCTGTTGACAGTTAACTACACTGTAGGTGTGACTAGTTTCAGAATCAGAGCTGTTGAGGTTAATGCTGAACAATGAGAATCACTCTCATGCTCGGTGTTTTCCTCCTGTAATAATACATTTAAAGAAAGAAAAGCTTCCGCTCATTAGTCAGAGCGAAGACGGCGTCACCACCGGTCACTGGATCTGGTCGTCATGTGCTGCATTGTGTTTGGGAAATTTCCAACAAGAGAAACACGGTCTTTCACCAGAAGGATAAAACCTGCTCTCTCCCACCTTTGACTAAATATAGACTCATTCCTGGAACCACTCTACTACACAGAGACGCTGCAGACAAATGAGTGAATGTTTGATTAATATGCGATTGAGGATGGTTAATTATTCAACCCCAGGTCCAAGAATCCTATTTGAATTATGATATTTTAATGAGATGATATGGAGCCGCGTTAGCGTCTCCTCTACGACGTCTGATAGCTCACTTTTCCTTTTCGTGCCTTCCTAACTGTCACAGATGACATCATGCTGTTTCAGGGTGAGCGCAAAATTGTAGCCTCCTCTGCACCATCAGGAAATGATGCGATCCACGGAGGAGGAGGAGGAGGAGGAGGAGGAGGAGGGATTGCACGCTCGGCTCCTCATCCTGTCTACAGACGACGAGCAGAGCTGTTCCTCAGCTCCAGTTTCAAGACAAAAGCAGTCATGTGTGGCGTTCATTTTCATCCCAGGCTAAATACCAACGTCAAATGAGGCGTTGTAAAAGGATGTTTGGGCTCTGGAAGATTAAAAAGGGTCAAAACGACCAGTTTGATCTGCAGAGCTGGAGCAATTACTGCAGGAATCAATGGAAGGGAAATATTTTGACTATCAGTTCATAGTTTTATGCATTTTTCAGAGCAAAGATTGCCAAACCGGTTTGATTTTCTCAGATGTCAGGATTTGCCCTTTTATCACCATTTCATATCACCGTGCCCATTCTAAACCTGCCTGTTTGGAAAGCACTGTTTATAATTGACCTGTGGTGACGCTGGTTTTATTTCTGAAACTGTGAACGTGACCTGCAGTAACTCAGCCATGAGAAGTAAAGACCTGCTGCTGAACCCTGAAGCCACATCCCCACCGCTGCACAAACAGCTGTTGGTTGAAGCTAGCTGCTGAAGAACATGTAACACGCTGCTGTCGTGGTCGACGAGGTCACGTAGGTTGATGAGTCCCAGCCGCTGCTCCACAGAGCGCTGGTCTTCTGTCTATGCAAACTTTAGCAATATTGAACATATCGCAAATCGCAAAGGATTTGCCAGTGCTCCTTCTGGTACATTTGTAAATACAATAAAATGAGTGGTTCTCTGGAGAAGTGAAACACATTTTTACACATGCACTGAACTCCAGAGATCCTCCTGCTGCGCTGTGCACGCGTGAACGACAAACTCGGAGACCCGATTCTCCAGACATCCTCCGGAGGTCAAGTCTGAAAACAACTACACAGACTGAGACATTGTGAGGCCTCAGTTTGAATTCTGCTCAACTGCAAGTGTAGATGTCTTCTTTAGGGATTGTTGATGCACATAACAGAGACTTTGGATTACAGAAGAGAACCTGATGAGTTAGAAAAACCTGGATCCATGATTGGATTTCAAATCACATCATTTATAAGGAGAGAAGCTATGAGAGCTGTTTCAGGCGGCTTCTGGAACAATCGTTTCTGGTGTTTTTACAGAGGGACGTGTGCAAAATCCTTTTCAGACTGTTTTTTTTAGCATTTTTCTTTTTCACCTCGTAGGTGATGAAAGAAAATAGTCTCACTGCGAAAACGAGCTGCAATGTGACTTTTATGGTCAATATTATGAAGACTAAGTTCGTCTCTCATTCAGAGCTTTGGATAGGAGGCTCAGCCTTTACCAACAACACGATGCAAACACAAATCCTGCTTCTTCTGCAGAGTCACGACACTCACTCTCTCACACACACACACACACACACACACTGTGCACACCAGGGTTTGACTCTGTCAAAAACAATCATTAACGTCAGCATTCCTCGCTCCTCCATGAAACGTCTGACAACACAATGGCTTCAAAGAAACAAAGGTTGGTGCTTGTCTGATCTTTTTTCAACCATAAATATCTGTTCTGACTCTTGTTGCTCGGGGCCTTTTGATAACCAAGATACAGGCAGTTGGGTCTCAGGGGTGCAGAGGCTCTGGGGTCTAAAAAGCAGAGGGGTAATAAATATTCAAGGAACTGTCGAGCCCTTTTTGTTTGGGAGTGCAATTACATGAGGCAGATAAGCAGTGGTTTTTCTCCCCAGCATAATTATAGTCATATTACTTTTCCAACATGGGCCCTGCACTGAGCACAGCATCACTGTGTGCACTTTACACATCTCCCCCATGAAATATTCAGCTGTAAAAATGGGCGACAGGACAAAATGAGTGAACCTCGAGATGAAGATGCTTCAGAATTCAGCTCTTTACTTTAGCATCTTGCTCCTGAGTCACCAAGATGCAGACCCTGTGTTCCCTGCAACACGTGGACGTGAGATCAAAATGTTTGTCAAGGGCAAACTGGCGATGCGCAAAAACACACATTCAGGTTCATGGAGCACCAAGGTGACAGGAAGACATTTCAATGAAGGGGTGTTTCTTTTGGACTTTTCTTACCGCTTGAATTCTTGCCACAGATGAGGTGCTGGTAGGGCTGCAGCAGACCCCACACCTCCGAGTCCCCGTTGATGGCTTGCTCCAGAGACTCCAGCGTAAACTTGGGGATCCCGTTGTCCCTCTCCACCAGCGCGCTGCGCAGGACGCGGCCGAACACCTCTCTGAACAGGCTCTCCATGCAGGCGGTGAGGTATATGGCGGCGTGCTCGTGGATCCTGAGGGCCACCCGACTATCCACCATCCACCTGAAGAACTTCCCCACGGAGAAGACCAGCCCGCAGCGCACCGACTTGCCGCGGCTGAACTTGTCCCCGGTGCTCATGTTGTACAGGGACAGTGCGCTCAGAGCCGCCGTGATGCAGTTGACGGAGATGGTCCATGAGAGCACCACCTTGATGGCGCTCTGGATCTCGTGCTTGGTGCACTTGGCGTAGCGCAGGCTGAGCCGCTGCGCCTCCCGGGCCACCCGCACCAGCGCGCGGCCGATGAGAGCAGACAGCCGCGCCAGGACCTCCGGCGGCGGGTTCCCCACCATCAGCTCCTCGTCCCTCCTCAGTGCGCCCTCCACCTCGCCGAGGCTCCATGGCACGTCCTCCAGCTCGGGCAGCTTGGCGCACTGACCCGAGCACTCCAGTATCTCGGTGTCCTCCGCCAGGACGGTGTTGACCGTGTCCAAACTGTTTTGTCTGCTGTGCATGGATTCCGTCAGATGCCAGCAGTTGCCCCCATGCGCGATGGATTGGTGCGTGTCAGAGCAGCACAGCGACACGCTGGAAGACCTGACCGAGTCCGCGGCTCCACCATAACCAGAATCAAGCGTTAAATCCTCCAGCGTCCTTACGACGGTCTTACTCTTGCCTGCCATAGCTGCACCGCATACTGTTGGGTATGCTCGGTCTCCCAATTAAACGCCACAAACTGGTCTCGGTGCGTCTCCTCGCTCAGTAATCCAGCTCAGTGAGAGAAACCAGAGACGTGAGCTCCCGCGTTCCTTCTTCTTCGGACCCTCCACGCTTCTCCTTCCTCGGGTCGCCGGATGTCTTCGATCTCCTCTGGTCCACAACTTCACGCGAGTAACCTGAGAGCGCACAACCCCTGCGCGCACACCGCACCGAGCGCAGCGCAGGCACGGCTCCGGCGGAGAGGTGGAGCCTGGAGCCCCGCGGGCTCAAACGAGCCAATACGCGTCTCCGGCAGATTTGATTGACACGAACAACACCTACCTGCTGCCTTTGAGCAGAGACAACCTGCTGCTGGAGGAACAGCCGCAGAACACACACTCGTACATGGAGGCTGCTGTGCCGAGCGGTCTGTGCTGCAGTGAGCTGATCGTGGCAGCGACAGGAGGAGAGCTGGATCCCCACCGAGGCAACACATGGAGCGAATGTGAACTCTTGACACGTGTAAAACAATCTGGATGTCCGAGAGGGGGAATAAAGCATTTATTTTAATTTTAACTTCTCTATTTAAATCAAATCACAGCTTCAAATGACACTGACGAATCAAAGTGGTGATCTGGATGACACTGTTTTTAACATATATGTATTCAATGTCGTGCTTCACGTGTTTTATTTTATCACAACCTCATCTCAGACCCAACAACAAGAAACACATTGAACAATGAATCAAGAAACAAACAAATTCAATGGATAAATTATATATCTCTATCTATTGATCTATCTATCCATCTATCTATCTATCTATCCACTCATCTATCTATCTATCTATCTATCTATCTATCTATCTATCTATCTATCTATCTATCTATCCATCCATCCATCCATCCATCCATCCATCCATCCATCCATCCACCCA